AATATGAAATCAAACACCTGTTCCCAGCTTATCTTGTGTGCTTGTATCTGTTTGTGTAGGCATATCATAATGAGGTCATTATGGCAGCTAATGGGTGACGAATAGGGAGGTCCACCCAGTGGCCCGCTGGGAGCCACACCATGGCAGAGGTTCAGATGTCAGTTAAGAGTCCAGCCAAGGTCAAAGAGATAAACACACAGAGATACTGTTCCCCGATGGTACAGCATGTGTTCATTCCCTCCCTCCTTTTGCTTTTATCAGCAAAAAAAAATAAAAAAAACAATTCCAATCTTTGCACTGTATAGTACAAAGCATGAGTGCTACATTTATGTGTGTCTTGATGAATAAACCTAAATAACATTAGTACAAGAAAAATATGTGCTTTGATGTCTTTATTTCTGTAATGTCCTCAGCTTGCCAAGTGTTTGAAAAAAAAAAGACTATTCAAAGCAAAAACAGCGTTTCGCTGAAATCTGGAAGGCAAAATGTGTTAAGGTTTCACTTCCAGGCAGCTTAAAAAAGATGGACTACACACACACACACGCACGCACACACACACACACACACACACACACGGCTGGTGCAGCTCAGAAAGTTTGAGGCCATAAAGTTTGACATATGGAATGGTGTGTTAATCAAAGACTCCACGCTCCCAGCTGGAACAGACGCACTGGGAACAAAGTCTGACATGCATACTTGAGAATGTACTTGCGTGTGTGCGTGTGTGTGTGTGTGTGTGTGTGTGTGTGTGTGTGTGTGTGTGTGTGTGTGTGTGCACTTGTATGGCTATACATTGTGAGGACCAGTTTGAGTTTTAGAACTTTGGAGTGAGTAATCCCTGTCATGCACGTGTGTGTACAGAGTATGTTTACTTACCTTTGAACCACATGGGCTGCCGTATTGTTAGGGTTAGGGTGTCTTTTCTGAACCTCTTAACAACTTTGGCCTTTCAGTCTCCATCAGAACTACTGTTTATGTTGTTTAACAGGAAGGATTCCACATTTTTAGCAAACAATTGGTGTTGTTCGCTCAATCACCTGACACATTAGACAGAAAGTTGAGTGCGCCAGTTGAGTTTTAAGGAAGAGAGAAAAGCGAAGTATGAGTATAAAGTTTCTGCAGGGTACACCAAGTTCATGTAAAATGTAAGACCTTGTTAAAACATACAGAAGATCATTTACCCGTTTCATGATAATACCATCCAAAATATGAAACTATGATGGATAACCAACATAGACAATCTTTCCTGGAATTACTTACTACAGTATTATCAGTATAAGTACATGACTGAACATGCACGATCCTGTGTTGCAGCGATTCCACTTTTAGTTTTTAAGTGTGTAACATCTCTCATAATTAGATACAAAAATGTTTTATATCTGACTAGCTATCCAGCTTTTTTTTTTTTTTTTTTTTTTTTTTTAAAAAGAAGCTAAAGACTTATCTGTTTAAACAGACTTGGGTTATCTGTGTACCATTTCTGTTCCTTATGTATTTTACTAGATACTATATTGTATTCCTGTGTATTTGAATTTTGTATGAGTATATGCAATTGTGATTTTAACTTTTTATGGCTTTGTAAAGTAAAGTTTTATTTGTCTCTGCCTCTTTCACTCTTTGTCTCTCACCTTTACCTGTGCACAGGTAAAAAAGCACTTCAACAAAGTGAAAAAAGAGAATGTACTTTGGTAATTTAGTTTGTTAGAAAAACAAGAGCCCTTGCTCTTCTTCTAAATGTCCCTCTTTATTTTCTGTTTTCACTAACCCCATAAACCCTGATATCAAGTAATCTTCTGCTTGATGACACCTTCATGGATAATTTTTCTGCTGCCTGGCCCATTCCTGTGATTATACATCCATATAAAAACATGTATACTGTATATATATATATATATATATATATGGGTGTTTGGGGTGTAGCTTTAACACTAGAATTACTGGAACCAAATCTAATCTAAAATCGGTTGATTGTCTTTACACACATGTACTTGGCTGATATGTGTCAGGCAGGCAACAAGGATGTATATCACTGGCCCATCCTCTAGAACTGTCTCAATAGGGATTTAAATTAATTTACCAGGAAATTACTGGAAACCCTCTAAATCCTGCAGTGCCAGCTGTGTCCATATGGACACCACATATGAAGTCACACACAGTCAACACTTGCAGTCCATTTATTACTACTATCATATGCAAGTGAAGGACTGGAATGATATATGGATACTAACTATACCCAAGTTCTAAACGTTTTATATTTTTTTAGTTGTACATCTGACTCTATGGGGGTCCTAGTCTTCACACTGGAAGATATAAATCTAAACAATATAGAAAACTAATTTTGATTGTTACCAATTAGAGTATAAGACTGGATTGAGCTGTAAAATAAAACTTCCCACAGACATGCCCAAACACAGCACAATATATAACTGCTGCAGAGACAGAATCTTTTTAACAGGAAAAAAGAAAATTAGAAAGTAGAAAGTGGCCATGTTGACAAGTGTCTGTTATAAAGCTCACTAAAAATGCACTGCTTACAGAGCCAGTGCAGCCTGCCTGGATTCCTAGAAAGGCAGATAAGTTACTTAAGAAGATGAGATAGATGATGAACAAGAGACGGGGTGAGAGAGGGTAACACAACAAGGCATAAAAGAGGGCTGCAAAAAAAAGTGATGAGAGGAAAAGGAGAGCACTGGAGAGAGAAGGGGAAACAAAGAGGGCTTCATTGTTTTCGATTGTGCTCATTACTGAAGGGGATGATAGCATAATATAGTGCTAATGGGGGAACAAATCGTGTGGTGTTCAGCTTACATAACTGGTGAGTGACTAATCACACAAGATGTTTCCTTGACACACACACACACACACACACACACACACACACACACACACACACACACACACACGCACACACGCACACACACACACATACACACTAACACACACACGGCTATCATCAGTTTTTTCTCTGTCTGTCTCACACACGTAGCCCTCAAACAAAAAATAGCCATTTTATGAATGCTTCAAGCCAGTTATTGAACAAAATAAAAAACATACAGTCCAATGCCAACTAGCAGTCAAGAGAAACTAGTCAGAAGCAATTTTTTGCATGTAACTATCTCTCATCCAATGATGTATGCATTGACCCATCCCTCTGATGTCAATGAGCAATGGTCAGCTGTCACTACCTCTTCACCCAATGAGACCACATCAGCAAGAACATCTGATCACCCAAAGGGCCAGCTGTTTGCAGAACGAGAGAAGCACAAGAAAGAGAGAGAGAGCAAAATGTGAAGAGAGAGATCTGGCAGTCAAACTCCATCTGCTAATGTGCGTCAGTCCTTGACAGTTCAGCACATATAAAGAAGCCAATGCACATCATAGCGTGACTTCATCAATATCAATGACAGAAGGCATGAATAAGCAAAAATTATTACTCTAAAACTGAGTTCGGCTTAATTTTCTGTTGTGTTGTGTCTGTTGAGTTTTTCATTCATGCTAGAGGACCACATTTGCCATATATCAATATACTTCTATCTGTAGGGACTCCAGGCGCGAAAACCGCAACATAACCGCAGTGCGACCAAGCCACCAGCCAACCAAGCAGCCAGCCGTCCAGCATCATCAGCTGGAAGTGAAAAGTGAGGAAGAACAGAAAAGAGGGGGAAAGACTGAGAGAGCGACAGAGAGAGGAATAGAGAGTTAGAGGAAAAAGGCAAAGCCAACTAGCTGCCATGTCCCTGTACAATCTAGCAAAATCAGACACTAAGTAAGAGCCTTCAGCGCTGCTAGCTGCATGTTCACCCACAAATTCCACAACAACGAATTCCTGTGTGCACAGCATTAATGGCTGATGCTAGCTGTGTGTAGCGAGACAGCAAACATGACAGCCAGTCGAATTAATTCTACATCATGCATGGTTTCATGGGCTGACGACACCGCCATTACATAGCTTGGCATGCCAAAAGGCCTTGAGTACATTAAAACCTGATGGTTTATGGTCTACTGCCACATATTTTTGTGGTGTAATTCTAATCTGCCACATCAGCCACCCAAGTACATGGTTTTTTAGACTGTCCGGATCTATCACATGTTGCTCTCTGCTCGGGGCTGCTTCAGAGGCTCTGACGTGCAATCAGAGGCCTGCGTGCCTGTGCCAAGGGAGCACGGTAAATTGTCAGCTGACGAAAGACTGGAAAGAGTATGTTTTGGGTTTGGTCCGTGGAGGCTTTAGCCAACAGGAAAGCTCCGGTGTTTTCCTCTCCATGGGACATAATGGATTCTCCCCGGCAATGAAACACTATTCCGGCTGGCGGGCGGGACCGCCAGCCACCTGAGAGCTTTTCCCACAACACCCCCTTCCCTGTCAGAGCCAGATCTAGCCATCAGTGGAGATCTGGGCCAGATGGAAGGATGGAGAGAGGATGGTTGAAGAGAGGAGAAATGTGAAAGAACAATGAATAGGAGCAGATGGCAAGAAAAAGGGAGGGATGGGGGGAACTGGCATCCCTCTCTCTAAGACGACTATGGCGAATCGTTGATTTCTGAGCAATGTATCACTGTACCTCCGCCCATATCTGAATTCACAACATGATACACATACACATAAGTTACCATAACAACAACACAACGCAATGCAACACACAAAACATACAGTTGCCCCCTTACCCACCCTTTGCTGCATCCCCCTCCTCCTCTGCCACATCTGTCCATGTTAACCCCTCCTTCTCTCTCTTTGTCGGTGTCTTCGCAGACTTGAGATGCTCCCAAAGCAGGCAACACTGGCACACAGTGGCCACAAGGGCAATACACCCAACTGGAACAATGGCCTGTTCATGATTTTATCAGTTTACAAACATGCACTCAAGAGTCCACACACACACACACATATGGATAGTTGTCGCAGACATCATCAGAGTGGATGCTGTGCAAACCTATTTAAGAAGTGACAGTTTCCCTCACGAGATCAATACATTTTTATCTATCTGGGTCAAGTTTTGTACCTTCTCTCATTGTCGTCCAGGTGAGCAAACAGCACATTCTTGGAGATGGCCTTGGCCAAGGCAGTCATGGTCTTGTAGTCCTTTGGGATCACCTGTGTAGACAAAGCAGTAATATCCATTAAAGTGGACTGCAACAACACAGTGCAGGTGGACACATGAAACAAACCAGCACAAACACATAATAACCCTTACTTCAAAAGCAGACCAAATTGAGTAATTAAAGAGCAGTGTATTGGCAAACTCTGAAAGGAATATCCCACACATGTGTCTGTGTATTTTTGGGAGAGCCCATCTGTTCAGGGATTACACTCAAAATGTCACACAGCACTTAAGAATTCACAAGAGGCCTGAACTCATTCATAAAACATGCATTTTCATGTCCCAGACTGTGGAGTGTGTGCTCATGAGGGAATGGCAAAGTCTGTAGCCACAACAAAGCCACAGAACTCTGTATTTAAATAAAGGCTTCCTAGAAGAGAAACTCCTTTTACCGTATGGTGAGAAAGGCAAAAAGTAACAGAAAAGGGGAAAGAGTAAGAAAACTAAATCCTTCTTACTGCAGAATAACTGAGACAGAGACAGGAGTGTGTATGTGTGTGTTCATATACTGAATGTGTGCATGTGTTTTGTCTCTGGCGGTGGTGGAGAGGAGGGGGTAGGCTGTAATTACGTTAAACCAACAGATGTCTCCACATGAGGACAACCATGCAGCACTCTGCACAACTTGTACACAAATACACACACAACCACATCAGATGTAAAATAAAAAGTACCACATTTTTTATCTCTGTGCACTACTAAGGACTAGTGGACAGAAAGAGAAAGAGGCTGGTCTGGCCTAGAAACTGAGTTGGAGGAGGGCACAGACACCCAGTGGGGTTCAGTGGTAGAAGTAATTTTCAGATTAAGATTATAGGTCAGCGTCCTAATCATTCTCCACAAGATCCAGCTCCAGTACTGTCACCCAGGGGACCATTAAATGTCAGGGCACTCAGCTTGTTACCAGCTTGCAACCAATGTTTGAATCACTCAAAATTATTTTTCAGAGTTTCAAACCTGTCATCGTAATGTTAAGATATCTTTAGCCTCTAGCCAACTGGAAAAAAAAGGATGGCATAAAGCCACAGGGGAAAAAATGGATTGCTAATGATTTAACAACTACAAGAAGTTATGAGAGGAAGTAAATCAAATTCAGTGGGCAAAGTACATGTGTTTTCAATAGTGAAATAAGAAAAAGTCAGGGTAGCGACAAGCTTATTTGCCTCCATCTGCAATATAAATATTATTTTTCTTCAACAGCATTATATACAGTATGATGTTAGTTGTGACATATGCATAAAAATCCATAAGTTCAATATTTAATGTGACAAAAGCCCTTTAAAGTCAGAGGAAATATCTGACTTGATGTCCATTTTGTTCCCACCTTGTCATGACGTTGTCCACACTAGTTCCCATCAATCTGATGCCAGCCCTGGAATTCATTCTGTTAATGTGGCCTGACTGACAGGCCTCACAATTTGTTAAGACTAATAACACTTTGCAGCAAAGCTTTTTTTAAACAGATGAACGGGGTTAGCTAATTGATTGTGTTCATTTAAACCAGCTGTTGATTTTCACAGTGGAGTCATTAATGGAGGTGATGATGTAGGAAGATGTCAGCAAACAGGCTCTAAATACACAGTATGTGTAAGTGTATGTGCGTTTGTGTGTGTGTTACCTCAATGGCCAGAAGAAATCCTCTCATTCTAATTCAATTTTAATTCAGTTTTCTTTGATGGGCTATTGTGTTGGACAAGCATGTGAATTAATTCCTTTTTTCACATGCTGCTGACGTGGTTCTGTGAGTGGTTGCATGTGTGAGTTGTTGCGTGTGGTTTGGGGATGTCTGTGTATGTATCAGTCCGTGAGATAGCAAGGGACAGCGAGGAAAATGAGGCTGGGGATAGGGGGCCGGCTTGTTGCCACGACACATGACTGCAGCGTCTGGTAGAGATCTCAGACCCATAAACACAAATGCACACGGGTGTGTGCACACACCTGACACATACACACACACACACACTACATGCTTCAGTGGCCGTGTGATTACAGCGTGGTGATGAGGGTTCATGCCGTTATGTCATTACCCAGCAATTAATGGCGAGTCAAGTTAATTACAAGTGAATGAGCACGGTAATGATATAGCGACTAGGGTGTGTGTGTTCGTATGAGTGTGTGTGTATGTGAAAAGGTGAGTTATAGTTTCTGGCTAAAGAGCATCTTTTCCTATAGCTCCAATAAAGTATGGAATGGACAGGGCAGCTTTCAAGATGACTGATAACTCCAACAGTCTTGCAGTCCACAATGAAAAAACATGGTCCCTTTATAAAAGAAATGATTCTAGCTTCTCTTCCCCTTAATCTCTCAACCATAATATATGTCAAGCTGTCTCACAAACCAGGGATGCAAAGTAAATCCAAGCACAAATAAAACCAAAAAGTCTACTTTCAGATTTTGTGTCAGTGTGTGTATATGCACAGCTTTCATCAATTCTGATTTCTGATTTATTAAACAGCATATGACAAGAAAGCAACTTTCTGAATTCAGGGTAGGGGATTAGAGAGACCTAGTCTTTCCAGGTAGAATTCCCCTTATTCAAAGATTTTCTTTGTATTTCTTATTATTCACAGTTATAGCTGCAAAAATTAGTTGATTAATCAATTAGGTAAATGACAGAAATCTACCAAATACTTTGATAATGGATTAATTGTTAAGGTCATTTTTGAAAGAAAAAAATGCATTTGATGGCTCCAGCTTCTTAAATATAAAACTTGCTGCTTCTCACATTTTTTACATTTTTTGGACATTGCCTTGAGCTTTCATTAACAGTGACAGAAGAAGAAGAAGAAGAAGAAGAAGAAGAAGAAGAAGAAGAAGAAGAAGAAGAAGAAGAAGAAGAAGAAGAAGAGGAAGAAAATATTTAACAGATCAATTATGAAAATAATTGTTAATTGCAGCCCAAAGCCTGGTTTAATTTGTGCATGTAGACATACTGATAGTACAGTAAAATGTGGGTTTTCAGCTGCAGCAAAGTAAAACAGGCTTAAAAGAAAACAATTGCTCTGCTCATGATGAAGATGACAATTATATGCAAAAACCTGATTGGGAGTCTATCACAGTCAAATCTCAGCATCTGTCCTGAACATCAGTTTAGCTGCTGACTCATAAACTGTGTATTTTGCTTGAAATAAATTCACTGGGGTGTCAAAGTCTGTTCATTGACTGCTGTCATAAAATTACACAGCTTACACAATAAACAGCTGTGTTACAGCAACATATGAATTCATCTGTGTAATATGCATTATGCCTGTATCTGTGTGCAAACATGTTGATGAGTTTGCATCTTTAAGCGTGTGCATGTACTGGATATGTGCGTCTGTGTCTATCTGTGCACGGATGTCTGCTTATGCATCCATCTTCTGAGGCTGACCTTGCGTACGTAGCTGACAGCGTCCTCTTCAGTGTAGACCTCGGCGCTGACCCCTCCCCTGCGGCGCCGGGCCTTGACAACCGGGTTGGGTGGTGGGGGAGAAACCTCATCATCATGTGAATCTGACTGGCTGTTAGATTTCTGACGTGCCATGATTTGCTTGCATTCTTCCTGTAAAAACAAGAGGAGAGACAAGATTAGTAGAGGGACAAGCTTGGAGAGGGCGAGACAGTGAGGGAGAGAAAAAATAATACAGATAGAACATCTATAAAAACAGCATCCGTCTTAGAGAAATTATTTCAATGTGTAAAAAAAGGCGTATTTTAGGGTAACAGATACAACTACTATGGTAGCTTCAGGCAAGACAAACAAAGTCATCTGAGAGCATCTCTTATTCTTCAACCACACAAACAATCACATGAAGAAGGGCTGACAAACCTCTTCAAACACCCTGTCTAACACCAAGCATCATGTGGATTCCTAACCAGGTCAGATAACAGAAGAGAATAAACCTCAGAGAGAGCACAGTGGAAACGTTCTAGTCCTGAGTGCACGCTGTATGGACATCTGCCTGCTGTAGTATGAAGTGGAAGCTATCAAAAATGGAATATGCAGAGAGAAGAAGGCTTAACCAGGTACTCTCCTCCTCTCAGATAATGACCAACAAGGAATAAAGACATCAAAGGGGAGACAGGATGCCTCTGGCTGGCGGTTGTTTCAACTGCAGAACGCTCTGCAGGTGATGAATTATTGATTGCAAATTGATTAAAACATTAGCATAAGTACACAATAAAACCACTGTAGGGTTGTTAATATACGAGACAAGGGCAATGGGATAACAGGTTGTGCAAAGGTAACTGGTATCCACCGCAAAGTACATGTGTAGATCTAACAATAGCTGTATCTGTGTCCTCTTGCTTGCACTGTGTGTTTATTCCTTTATTTGAGTGAATTAGTGTGTCCAATAGCACATTAGGTATTGAGTTGACAGCAGTGTTGTTCACCACCACAGATATTGGTGTAGTGACCATATGTAAACACATTTTTTAGCAACATTTCAGTATATTTCAAGCCTTTCTTCTATTTGCTGGTTCACTGCATTGCTACTGTGCAGTCAGAAATAAACAAAGGTGTCTCAGAGACAAAACTCAAGACAGGAAAGTGTAACTACAAGTGGTGCTCTCACACTGCAGTACAGAAACATCCCACAGACAGAAATAAACAGAAAAAGAGCACATAGTACAGATTTTCTTGGTCCAATCACTAATCAAAATATTGAAAGATATTTACTGTATTCTCCTCCATTTGTTCTAGAAATGTTATTACTTCATTGATTATTAATGAATTTCGACAAAGAGACACAGTCAACAGACAATTGTTTCCCTACCAGATAGACACGCACACATCATGTAGTGAAAACCAGAAACTTGAGTTTGTCAGAAGATCGGACCGCTGCAGACGTTACATTCATACAAATATTGGTCAGGCTTCATGTCCTCGAGAAAAGCCTATTGCCTAGTGGATCGACTAATCAGAAAACAAGAAAACTATTTTGGCAAATTTGGATAATTATTCATCAAGGAAGGTATTTTTCACGCAAAAATGACAAAATATTATCTGGTTCCATCTTCCCAAGTGAATGGATTTCTGGCTTTTCAACGATAATAAACTGAATATCTTTTCGACTGTTGGTCGAACAAAACAATCAATCTTTAAACGTCCCCATGGGCTTTAACGTTTAGTTGAGAGAACAATCAGATAAATTGATAACGAAAATTATCATTAGTTGAAGCCTTTGTTCAGTCTTTTTAGTGTCATTTAAGATCATGTAAATGTACGAATAAAATTTGTTTTGTTTCATTAATTTTGTAAAGTAGTTGTATTCTATGAGCTTTTAACACTTGACCAACTATTGATCATTAACAAGGACACCAATCAATTAAGGAAATCGCTTGTTCACAATGAGACACATACATGCCACCAACAGCAAATACAGACAAAAGTGAGCTTTTTAAGAAGACATATCTTGTTTTACATCACCATTAAGCCACCATTCCACTGACCTCATAAAACTTGAATTTAGGAGGGCCTGGTATAATACAAGTACCAGCATTTTCTATTAAATGTACTGAGGCAACTTCTCTCTCAAAAGCAAAAATTGCAAACCTGGAGAAAGGAGAAAGAAAAAGGGAGACCTGGAGCAGCTGGGAGCATAGTGATTACTGAATGCCTTGAGCAGAGAGCAGAAATTGCTGCCGCTTCAGGGAGGGACAGAAAGAGACAGAGAAGAAGAAAGAGACAACCTGTGACAATGCAATCAGAAAGACCACAGAAACATGGAGAACCAGGGAGAGAGGTGGAGAGAGTAGGTGACAGTGAGGAGACTGTCATATCACCTGAAAACTGAGATAAACAGAGCAGTCAAATCCAGACCTCACAACCCAGCAATTATTTGCACATTCTTCCTCAACTATCTGCATAATGCATAATGTAACAGAATAATGTAATGGGAATGGAAACAGTGATACAGCAATGCTATGATGATCAGAAACATCAGCCTGTTACAGTCGTCTGGAAGGCAGCAGTCAGCTTGCACTTTCACTCAGTCCTTCCATCTCATGATGTTTTTGTCACAGTCTCTTGAATTCACTCCCTCTTCTGCCTGACTTTGTCTCTCTGATGCACATTACATCCTAAGGTTACAGTGATGCTGTGCCCTGTGATAATGCAGATTTCACAGACACACACACACACACACACACACACACACACACACACACACACACACACACACACACACACACACTCGGAGATGTAAGCAAACATACTCCAGGGCAACACAGACACACACACACACACCTCTTGCTTACGCAGAGTCACTGCCTGAGGGAACACAGCCAGGAGGAGGAGAAGAGGGGAGGCAGAGCCAGAGAGCAGCATCAACGCACGCACACACGCACGCTCACATGCCGTCTCACAAACACATGCACAGGGAGACTGCAGGGGAAGAGGTGAACTCACAGATCGAGCTTAATCAAGGTGGCAAGGTCTGCAATCAGGTAACACACCACATCCTCTGAAGACAGTGTCAGTAAAGCACAAGGAAATACTCACTTCCCTTTCTTTCAAGCACTTCAAACACAGTTATATATAAACTATAAAATATATGAACACATCTCTCTCTCCTCACTCCAGGAAAACTACAAGTCGGACTCACAATCTAGCAAACACTGTTCACATGCTGTTATCTAGAACAGTCACTAACGATCAGTCAAACTAGGTGGTACCAAGCATCTTTACCTTGCAAAAAAACTTGCACACTCCTGCCTCTATGCGATCATACAGGTTAGTATTTAGTAGTATTTACCATGGCATGGAGGGCCCCTGGTCAGGCCTGCTGTGTGTCCCTCAGCCTGTCAGAGGCACCAGGCATCAAGTCAAAGTGTGAGTGTGTCAGAGTGTGCATGGGAATCAACACACATGGATCCCAACCTCATACACATCTGACACACATGCCACACCACAGCAGCATCTTGCCATAGTAGTACAGCGACTGCCGTCTGCGTGTGTGTGTGTGTGTGTGTGTGTGCGTGTGCGCACACTCAGGTTTGAGTGTGTGTGTGCAAGTAAACAGAGAATCCAAATCAGTGAATGAAAGAGTGAGAGAGTGCGAGTGGAAAAATGTCTGCAATCCCCACGACACAGCAGCTAAAGAACAAGACTACTGATGAAAACACTGATCACAGCAAAAAGCCTGTCTCTCCATCTCTCCTGCGCAACTCTGTCTCTGCTTTCCAGCCTCTCTCTCCCTCTCTCGCTCCCTCTCTCTCTCTGCCTCTCTCACGCACACACACTCACAATCAGGTGGCGCAATGAGCGGGCTCCTCTCGCTTCCCCCCTGTCACTATGACAACTGGGTACTGTGAGCATCCTGAATAGTTGGTGGAGAGTCTGAGCAGGAAGCTCACGCACCTACATTCACGCACACACCACTTCTGACGTCTGTTGACAGATTGTCCCTCTCTCTCTTTCTCTCTCTCTCTCTCTCTTTCTCTCTCACTAACACATCTATAGTGATTCAGTTCACAGAAGGGAGAACGTCACACCCTTCAATACAGACTTCTGTTGTGACCAAATGGCATGCCTGTGCGTTTTCAACCAGCAAATGGCTCCAAACAATCCTATAGGGATACATCATCGTCCCATACATTCCCTGTTTGTGCCCGACACTGTCCTGTAACATGCAGTGTCTTTCTCGGTCATTACTCATCTCCAGCCCCACCCAGTGCTTTCCTCTGAAGTCAGAGGGTCAGCCATGAAGTGAAGACTTTGTGTCTGGCTCCAACAAGTCCTCATACTGTTGTGTCCCCAGAGCTTAAACACAGGGACACAAAAACACTTTTGATCGTAAGTGTAAAAGTATCTACAGAGGAACCTTCATTAGTCTAAGGTGAGCTGAGAAAAGCCGCAACGTGTATTCACCAGCACTGTAGAAAAATCTTTTTTTGTTTTAGCTTTTCTGTAACAACACACAGGCTAGGCAGTTTCAAGCAGTGCAATTTATTATTTCCAGGATTATGTACAGTAGCTAAGCAAAACCTAATTTCATTCAATTTTTTGCAACTATTTTACTTTTTTGCCATCATATCACAATCTGTGGAAGTGCAATTTCTATTTCAAATATTATAAAATATCTTTCCAACTGCAAAAGAACACCTCTGGCACACCTTTAATATCCTGCCAACTAATTTTTATTTATTTACTAATATATCCTCTACTCTAGAATAAGTGCTATTGCTGTGTGTCCTCCTCTCTCTCTCTCCCTCCTCTCCTCTGCTCTCCCTGCGTCATCATCAGCGGCTGGGTGCCAGAGAGAAAAGACAGGAGAGCAGTGATAGGAGGGGAGACAGAGGACACAGGCGTAAGCAGGACACAGAAGCTTTGTAAAAAGTGGCCTTTCCATTAGAGACACAGTGACTGCAGGTCAGGGATTAACCCAAAGAATGAAGACAGAGACAAAAGATGACACTCATCCAATCCCATGCACCCTTGCTCAGTGTAAAGTAACCATTATTAAACCATTATCAGTTCCAATTTCAACTCATTTATGGATGATGAGTCATATTAGAATGGGCCTCCCCTGTGTTGTTCATTCCCTGAACCAATTTATG